GCCTTTCACTCTTTTTCTGCCTTTTTTGGTTTTAACTGAGCATTTTATGGTTTCATTTTTTCTCTTTTATTAGCACATCAGTTGTACATCTTTTAAAACACTTTTTTAGTGGTTCCTTTAGAATTTGCAATGAACATGTACAACTAATCGAAGCCCAATTTCATATAGCACTGTACTGCTTCATGATAATGCAAGTACCTTATAACAAAATAATCCCAATTCCTTACTCTGCTCCCTTATATCATTGCTGTCACTCATTTCATATATATATATATATATATATGCATATATATGCATAATTGCATATATTATTGCCATTATTTTGACCAAATTATTTGTTAGAGTAATTAAGAATAAGTAAAGTTTTGTCTTTTACCATCATTTATTCCTTCTCTGATGTTCCTTTTTTATGTAGATTTGAGTTTCTGACCTATATCATTTTCCTTTCTCTAAAGAACTTCTTTTAACATTTCTTACAAAGAAGGTCTATTGAAAAAAAATTCCTTCCATTTTTGTTTATCTGAGATAGTATTTATTTCTTCTTCATTTTGAAGGATAATTTTGCAGGGTACAGAATTGTAAGTTGGTGGGGAGTCTATCTCGCAAAACTAAATATTTCACTTCACTCTCTTTTTTGCTTGCTTGGCTTTTGAGGAGTAGTCAGATGTAATACTTATCTTTATTCCTATATAGGTAAGTTGCCTCCCTATGCCCCTCCTAGCTTGTTTCAGCATTTTTTTCTTTATCTGTGATTTTCTGTAGTTTTAACAAAATAGGTGTAGGTGTAGGGGTTTTTTGTTGGGGGGAGGGGGCATTTATCCTGGTTGGTGTTCTTTGAGCTTCCTGGCTGTGTTAGGCATTAATTTGGGGAAATTCTCAGTCATTATTGTTTCAAATATTTCTTCTGTTCTTTTTTCTTTCTTTTTCTTCTGGTATTATATGTACATTACAGCCTTTGTAGTTTTGTAGTTGTTCCATAGCTCTTGGATATTCTGTCCTTTTTCTCTTCAGTTTTTTTTTTCTGTTTGCTTTTCAGTTTGGGATGTTTGTATTGAGATATCCTCAAGCACAGAGGTTCTTTCCTTAGCTGTGTGCATCCAGTCTACTCATAAGTCCATCAAAGGAACTCTTGATTTCTGTTACAGCATTTTTGATCTCTGACATTTTTCTTTTGGTTTTGATGAGAATTTTTAGAATTCTCATCTATCTACTTACATTGCCCATCTGTTACTTCATGTTGGCTACCTTATCCATTAAAGTTCTTAGTATATCAGTCATAATTGTTTTAAATTCCTGTTTGGATAATTCCAATATCCCTGCCATTTCTAAGTCTGGTTCTAATGCTTTTTCAGTCTCTTCAAACTGTGTTGTTTTTTTTTTTTTTGCCTGGAGTTTCTCTCTCAGAATTGTCCACGTTAAGCCTCCAATAATTCATCAATTACAGCTCAGGATTTCCCACCTGGCTCTGATTCCTACGGAGGTTTCTGCTCTGGTGAGTCTCTCTATACGCACCCATTGGTTTCGCTAATTCGGGGGGTAGTAGTTCGCTCTGTGATCTCACTTCTCTTATGGATCTGAGTTACTGATTTTTCAGCTTTTTACTTGCTGTTAGGATGGAGTGGCAACTTCTAAGCTTCCTACATGTTAGACCAGAAACCACAAGTGCTCCTGTCTCTCTTCCTGTCCCAACATGACAGTAGAACAAGGTTTCAGCATGTGACAAAAAGAAGCAATACAGCAACTTCCAAAGCCCAGGCACAGTCTTGTTCATCTGAATTTGAAAGTAGTGAGGGTTCTGCCCTATATCATTCATTCATTCAGATATACTTACTGATCCTGTTCAATGGCTAGTATCATATTAGGTGTGGGGTATTGAGCACTGAATAACATAGATAAGGACTCTCCTTCCTTGTACATTTAATATTCACAAGTATAAGCCCAACAGACCAAAGGATCTAAATATGGGAGGCTACATGACATTGTGAACAGTAATTCACCCTGACTCTGCTCAAATGGAATTCCAGGGACCTGGGTTTGCATCTTGGTTTTTCCATTTATCATTTAAATAAAGACAGGCAACTTCGTTTTTCTACACCTTTGCTTCACCATAAAGGAAAGGGGGATTATATATTTATCTCATAGGTTTGCTGTGCATATTTATTAGGAAATAAACTCAAAACATGTCATTTAGTTCCTGGTGCTAATGATAATTAACAAATGGTAGTATCTGCCATTATTGTTACTTTAGTATTACTTCTAATGCTGCTACAGCTGCTACTCCACAACTGCTACTACTTATTGCTATTGAAGAAGTATGGGTCCAATCGAAATCAGGGTTAAAACACATTTTCAGAAACATTTGTTGACAGCTACACAATAAACAATATTAGTTATTTCCCAGTGGCATAATTTCCCCAGATCCATAGGAAGGCAAAAATGCAAAGAATTTGATGTTTGCTGTTTTATAGTTCTCTTCCAGAGTACAGCATGAAACGATAAGAAACATGGCATCATATCCTAGTCATTCCTTAGATCCAGGCATGAAGGTGGTACTTATTATTTGCAAGAGAAATCTCATCATTCTCTCTGATTGGCCACAAGTACCCATTAAACGTGAATTCTAGCTCCAATCAGTACACACACACCTTGGCCAAGAGAAATATTTTCATTTTCTCAGTCTTTCTTCCAATGTGTTTTGTTTCTTTGGTCTGTGTGGCTGACTGACCTTCTCTAGGGAGGATCATTTGGGCCATAAATAAAAATCTGGAACCTCACTGAGCAATGCTTACTTGGCTCGTGAATGTTATTTGTGACAGTGAAATCTGGATCCTATGGAAGTGCTTAACAAATTCAAAACAAGAAAAACTCGCACTCAACCAGCATCATCCCGAGTCTGTAGGAATGAATGATGGCACTAAAACATATACCACAGATGCAGTTTCCCTGACTAACTATAATTGCATTTCTCCACATATCATCGAAAATCATCTTTCATGTTTTCATTGTTTCTATTTCTGTTTATTCCTTTTTAATAGGCTCCCCCTTTTCATTTTTTTATTCCATGTCCATTTTTCCTTGAAATTACACAGGTTGTTGAATTTAAAAAAACCTTTGCTCTTTGTTTTTGCATGCATATGACTTTCCATTTCTATTCTGGGGTCTAAGTCTGATCTTTTAGTCATTTGGCATTCTGAGCAGGGACAAAAGGAGGCTGGAGGTTCAAAGGTACCTTCTGCATTACTCAACCTCTTTGATTTGAAAGCACATTACCTTAATAATAAAAATATCTGGGTTACACATTTGATATACAGACCAGAGAGATTGAGTGCAGGACATTTTTCTGATCCTTGAAAGAAAAGCCCAAAAAAGGATTCCAAACTAATTTTCCACTGATTCTCTATTCCTCCATTACATTATTTTTCTGTACCTTTCATACATCAGTGAAGCCCCTTCAGAGTCATTTGGGATTATTGATTATGAAGCAGCAAAAATCTTTCATACTGCAAGCAGAGTGATTGCAGCCTCTCTCTCAGCTACCCTTTCAATCATATTATTTCTACTCATCAAATGTATTTTATCCATAATTCTTTTTAGAGTCAAACTAGTTTTCAAGTTACTATTACTCACTGAAAAGTGACCATATAAAAAGTTTAAAATCTGTAGCTTTAATGTGCCTGACACTTAATTTTACGCTCTGTTTGCCCCATTGTTCAAAGCAAATAGTAGTTAAGGCTCCAGCTATATAAATATATGTGTGTATGTATGTGTGTGTGTGTGTGTGTGTGTGTGTGTGTGTGTGTGTGTATTCAGTTCATGGCTCTGGTTTTTACAATATTAATATATGGCTCTTTTTAGAAAAAATCTGCTACACAGGAAAGGTGTAAAATAATAATTTATAATCTATCACATCAGCTTTGCAGTTTCTATTTGCATAGCTTTCTGATTCCATGGTGAATGTATTCAGTTACACTTCTACATTAATTTTTATTTTTCAGTTTAAACAAATAAAATGTACATCCAGATGACAAAGGACTGGACAGCAGGGCAGCACTGAAAGAAGCAAAAATGCCTCTGCATAATATTATTTAAATTATTTTAAAAAAACATTTAAAACAAGCAATTATTAATAACTACAGATGACTATTTTATCATGTTGGGTATATGCAAAGGTGTTTAAGTCTACACAAAGAGTGGCCTCTGCTAACTCCTTGAGGTTTAAAAAAAATTTTTGATGAGAAGTTTTGATGAATTGTTACTATTAGGCAGAAGGCAAACAGTTAGATAGGTTTTTCTATAGAATAATTAGAATATCCATTCATGTATGAAATATTTAATCAAGCACCATTACATGAAAGGGACTTTGGGACATACCAGTGAGAAGGAACAATGAGACATCTGCCCACACGTGGCTTGTGTTCTAGCATAAGACACAGCCAGTAACAAGTCAACAGTCAAATGGTGACAAGTGCCATGAAGACAATAAAGATGGATGAGGAGAGGGCTTGGGACCAGGACCAAGGGGTGGGGCACTGTGAAGAGATGGCTATTTCAGATGGGGTAGTCAGGTTTATTTCCTATCACAAGTCACTAAAATAAAAACTCATACAAGCTGGAGGCATTTGAAAAAGAATTAACACATATAAACCTCAGTATGAGAACATGAAAATTAAAATTGTGTTACACAACATTGATTTTATTGAAAAGCTTCTACTTCTCAATAGAAATGTGATTTCCAATAATAATATGGCCTCCAATCTGCTCTGAATTCTCATATAATATTGAGAGCTCACAAAAGCTCCATTGCCATTACTTTTGCTCCCATGAATTATTATGATTCACATCATCCTATAACCATATAATTACACTGTCCAATAAGCACACATGACATTGTAGTGTGGAATGGGCCAGGTATAAAAACACAAACGATCAACAACCCACCATTAAATGAAGGGAAAATTCATTTATTTAATTCATTTATTCAACATTTGTTAAGCACTTACTAAATGCCAGGCACTGTGCTGCCTCCTGGGGACACAGAAATCAGAGCTTGAGGCCAAGGATGTCAAAAGAGACAGAAGAACCTAGAGAAAGACGATTAGGTAAGAGCAGTAGATGGCAGAAGTGCATGGTACAGCTACGCAGTGGATGGTTTAAGCACCTGTAGAGGGCACGTAGCCTGCTTCCTGCATCAGTAAAGGGGACATGGGGTCAGAGAGAAGGTAGAGCTGACTGGGCATTTTTAGGACAGAGGCACCTGAGGATATTAATGTGATGAAAAAAAAAGAAACCAGGAAACTGAGAAAGCTGGCAGATTCTGAGAAAGGAACTCTAGTCATGAAGCAGCACACAGGAGGATGGGAGAAGAGTTGAGGTAGGCTAGGGATGCTGAAGTCATGACCCATGATGCAGGTTTGTTCCCACACACGGTCGGGACACCTGCCTGCACACACTCAGTGCAGTCTCTCAAACTGTGCTCGGCAGGCGGCTGGGGAAGAAGAGTGAAACAGGCCCATCTCTATAGTCCCATCTGGGCAACCTGACAGGATTAGCAGCCGACACAGCTCCACCACTCATCATGTCCCCAGATCAGTTTCTCCAGCCCCATAAGCACCTGCCCCTTTTTAGGCTTCTGTGCTTTTGCACAGAATGTTTTCTCTTGCTAGGGTGTCACTTCTACCATCTTTACCTGGAGAATTCCTGCACACCTGTCAAGGCCCAAATCAATGACCATCTCATTTGGAGGCGGTCTCCAACCCTCGCCACCTCCACCTTGTTCCCACAGTGTTTGGTAACATTCTCCTATTCGAGTCCCTTTCCCAGTGAGGCTTAATTATCTAAAAGTCTGCTCGCACACAGAACCATGAGCGTTTCAAGGGTACTGATGGTTCTGTCCATCATTTCTATAACTCCAACACAAGGTCTGCCATATAGTAGCTGTTGATCATATAAATGTTTGTGCTTATGTAATGTATTATTCCAGAAGTCATTTAACAAAGGCTCAGCTATCCAAGCTACAGGACGTTACACTATGATGTTTTAATTAATTTTTAAAAATTATACACGGTAATCCTTGAATGCATACTCACCGTAACAATTCAAACAACACAGGCATATAAAGAGCCACATACTCTTTTCCTCCTATTTTCTTATTCCATTCTTCCCAGCAGAGTTAGATGCTATCATTACTTTGAGGTATAGCTTTGTACACATTTTCTTTTCTATGCATTCTATACATGTATGTATTCAGAATAGGAATATAGCTTTCTACAAGCCCTGCCCACCCCTACAAATGGGACAGTACCATATGCATTGCTTTTCAACTTCTTTTACTTAAAAGTAATAGGTTTTAGAGATATTTTCCATCCTAAAACATATGGATTCATCTCACTATTTTCAACTGGTATATAGCATTCACTAGTAAACAGAGATACACAAAGGAAAACCATGACTGAGTTTTCACTCAAGAAATATGTAAGCATTGAGAATACTGACACTATCCAATGGGGGTTGTGCTCTCTCTTAGACGAGTTTTGCCTTTTTGAGGTTGAAATTAATGTTTTCTAAAAGTCTACAATGTGCAATTCCACATCATGAGCTCTATCCTGAAAAAACACAGATATTTACATACAAAAGAGCACATATAGGTATGTACTGCTACGGAATTCGCAACAGTGAAAAAATCGGAAATATCTTAAATGTTCATAATTTTAATTTTTAAGTCACAATAAATTTTTCAATTAAAATAAGTTTAATAAATTGTGGAACACCTGAATTTTGTCCTATCAGGGTTGGGTACATGGTATTAAATGAATCTAAGTTTTCTCTGATCCCATGTCTGTCCCTTTCTAAGGCTGCTTGATAAAATCTCTCTCATTTCTAACATTTTTAAACACTGCAATTCAGGATTCTGTGCACATCTGATACTGGGATTCCTTTAGAGATAGCACTTATTTACGGAGATTTTTGTTGTTGTTGTTGTTGTTGTTTTAAATTGGGGAATTGGGGAAGGGGAACAGACAAGTTGCTGTCCTTTTTGTTCTTCGGTCTAGTTGTGGAGGATGTTGCTTCACTGGCCCATGTTGGTATTATCACTGTGCTCTTCCCGGGTGAGGCAGTCACTGGCCGACCATTGGACGGCCCACTCACGCGGCGGCTCACGGCTGCTCACGAAAGCGCACACCAGCTGCCGGCCACTCACAGTAGCTTAAGGCAGCACACTGCAGCCCCACTGCAGCCCACACCATCACCGGTGACTCACGGCAGCCCAGCTCTAGGTGAGCTGTTGTTCACCATCTTAGCTGTAGAGGGTGCAGCGTCACTGGCCCTCATGTGGGATCTGAAGCGGGGCCCTGCTGCTCAAAGCTGGCATCCCAAGCCAACTCCTAACCACTTGGCCTGCCCTTTACAGAGATTTTAATGCCATCTCTTGTTGTCTTTTACACAAAGTGAAGGATATGGTTATTCTGGTAAACTTGTACCAGGCCCTCCTTGATTCTGACACCAAACCTGAAGCTGACAACAGTTTTTGCTTTGTTGTTAATAACAGTCACGTGTTGAATGTTAACCACATTTAAGGGATGGTGGAGGGGACAGTGATAAAATGCAAAGACCGCTACTCAGCTCCACACATATCAGATACTCTGAGTGCAGCAACCACAGCTCATAAAAAGGAAATAAGCAGAATGTTTGCAGGTTTGTTTGTCCAGCCATCCATCATCGATCCATCTGCTGGCTAGATCGATGCAGTGAAAGATGGATCAAGTAGAACCCTCCACAAAATCAAACAAGAAGGAAGGAAGGAAGGAAGAAAGGGAGGGAGGGAGGGAGGAAGAAAAGAAGGGAGGGAGGAAACTTGACACTATGGTTGAAAGTAGGACAATGACAAATGAGGATAATTTACAAAATCAAAAGCAGAGAGGTTAGACGCCACATGGAAGACAAAAGGCAACCACTGGTTATCCCCAGATGCCACAATAAAAGGTTAGGTCCTATAAGAAATGAAAAGTGGAGGAAAGTGCTGAGTCCAAATAGAATCTTCAGTTGCTCCAGGGAATGGATGGCTCCCTTCCAGACCCAGAAACTGGAACTTCCCACGTGGCAGGGTAAGGCTAGAACCTTGAACCGAGACAGTCTCACAGAGGCCAGGCAGACACAGCTGTAGGCTGTGGGGAGAAGCCCAGGCAGGCAGGGCGGCCCAGGTGCTAGGTGTGTGGTGAGACGCAGTGGCTCAGGCAGGCATTAACAGACTAGGAGGATTAAAGTAAAGGTACGATTTTATCCGGGAACCACAGGGAGCCATGGCACATGTGAAAGCCAGCGTCATGTGGGAAAGCGAGCAGATGGTAAGTGGGCAGAAGAAAGCAAGGCTCCCACTGCCTGGCAAAGGCTCAGGGAAAGAACGTGGGCTATGGGAAGGCAGCCCAGGCACTCGGGCAGGACATCTCAGTCTTGCAGGAACTGGAGGACCAATGCAAGATCCCGACAAAGACTCTCAGCAGCAGCCCTGGGAGGCAATGAGTATATTCACAGCCAGGCTTGAGCGCTGCCATATACCTTCAGATGGGTGAACGGAACTCATACAACTTGTTGGCTTTCTAATACGGTTACACAACTTTGGAGCCACGATTCACAAATAGAATAGTGATCCTATTGATTACCAGTGCTGAGTTACCATATGGAGTGGTATCACTGCCGCAAACATCAAGACCTGATTTCCAAGGATGGTTCCTCCAATTCCCTCTGATTAATGACCACTATGTGCCCCACACCTTGGGCCTGGGACGGACCCCCAGTTGTGGTCAAATGGCTCCAGCTATTGGCATCGAAAGGTTTCCAGGGCAGGGGGCCAGGCAAGTCATCATACTCAGTTACTGGGTTTGGCAGGAGGAGGAGGAAAAAGTGTGGTTTTGGCAATACTGCTGGGCTTATAGGCCTTAATTAGATTACAGGATCAGCCTCTGACTAGCAATGAATGCCCTTGGGGAGGTCGTCTAATCTCTCTGTGAGGCTCTGTCTGAGTTTCCACATCTAAAAACTTGAAAATAATATTTCAGGAGGCAGCTTAACAGAAGCCCTAAACAGCAAGTGTTGTTAAAAGGATTAGGATATCAGCTGATCCTTCAGTTACATAACGCCCTTCACCCTCGGGCCTCGCAGAAAAAAGAAAGGAGATCTGGGAGGCATCCCCTCAAATCACCATTGCAAACTAATGTACTTGCTGTATATGTGTGCTAGGTGAAGGAGATTACTTTGCTGAACGTAAATTGGTTGTGTGATAAAATAGTATAACACCACTGAGCCCTTTGCCTTGAAGAAACTTGCAAATGAGAAATAGCAGGGACAAAGCAACTTTGTATTTCCAGTGGCCCAAACGTTGGGTCAGAGTCACTACAGAGAACTTGAGAGAAAAGATGGCTCCAGAAAAAAGGGGTGTTAAAGGTTGTCAACAGTTAGAACCACGGCAAGAATCAGATTCAGTAGAGAGCTGTTTATATTTGGGAAAGTGGTATTAATTGGGAGTCTAACCAGTGCTATGTGGACTATTTAGCTAAGAATAAAAGGCTTCTCCCAAAAGTCTCCAAAGGCAAGTCAAGAAGGTACAAAGAAACTACAAAGAAGGTACAAAGAAGGAACTAATAAGAATCAATTATAAATGGAGGACGTTAAAAACTCAAAAGATTGATTCCACTATAAGAAATAGTTGGAAAACGCCCCCAAGTCTGGTTGAGATGACCTGAGGAAATTATATACAAAATCCAGAAATTACAAACAGAAAGGAATGGATGTTATGCTCTGCCATGTTGTCTGATCAGAATGGTTTGGTCTGTAAGCCGTTAAAGCAGAGGCCTCATGCATGGTTTTCAGTGTGTATGGTTCTATCCAGAGGAGAGGGTTCCCTACATCCCTAGCTGTAAGCCTGGATAAAAATTAGGGTCACCTGGAGAGTTTGTAAAAAAGAGCAAGGTCTGAGCTGCACCCTGATCAAATGAAATTGAAATCTCTCAGGAGCAAGCCTGGGAAGCAATGAGTATACTTCACAGCTGGAACTGAGAATGGACATAAACCTTCAGATGGATAAGCG